CAACCTTAATATTTGTAATCTTCAAGTGCAACTGGGCCCCGGCCACGCCCCTTTCCTGAGACTGTTCATTAACCGCCCCCCGATTGGCAATTAAAAGGAAAGGAACTGAACTTGGTAGTTGGTAGTTGGTGGTGGACTATCAAAGCTCATCAAACTTTTCCTCTGACTCAGCGCCACCTGAGTGGAGAGTATACAGAGTGGGTGAAGGCGAAAGAGAGTGCACTGCAAGAAATAAATGTGAGTTAGTGTAGAATAAGAAAAGGCTTAAAATCTTTTTACTAGGTATGTATATATAATGTATTATAATGGGTATAATATAATATAATATATTATAATGGGTAATATATACCCATAATAACTCTTACAAAATCAGTAGTAATACGTATCTAATCTAATTATTATCTATTGAGTAGCACTCCATAATTTTTGTAAATCCAAATTGAACATAACTTAAAATATAACTAGAGACCGAACCCATTTTAAGTTTAAAATCTAATATTATAAAGTATACCTATTCAATATATTATTAGTTATGAAGGGTATATATTGAATAACTCTTCTTCAAAATCAGTAGTAATAGATAACGATTATCTTATCTTTCTATTTTATAACTGTGTATATTCATTTATACCCCATAGTTTTTATATTTCCAGAATGTATACATAATTTAAAATAAGACTTTATAGATCAGTTCGATCGTTCTGCGTGTACCATTGAAATACTGTGAGAGGTCGATGAGTAATGCTGCTATGGTGGAGATGACGCCGGGCAGCCCCGCCCCAGTGGGTGGCAGTTATCAGGCAAACAGTCTTTATCAATAACACAAATACAGCTCAATGAACGAAAAACAGAGCTCATCAAGTTGATAGCGTAATGCACAAGCAATGCGGATCGCCTTCGGAGGAGAACCTTAAGGCATGCAAATACTCACCATGAGTAATGGGCAATTTATAGACACTAGGCATCAGAGTAAAGCTCTCCGGATGAGGGTCAATTATTAGCTTTATGGTTAAAGAATTGTTGATCTTTCCTGGAAATTGTTCACTATTCTACAAACAAACTGAATATTAGTTAAGTAGGTAAACTGTTCCAAAAGACTTGATAAATTAATAACCTAACAATCAAATGTTATCAATCAAAGCTCAGATTAAGTAAAATATTTATATTTCCCATTGTTAATATCCTATGTACTTTCATGTCTTTGACCAAAAATAGAATGGTCTATTCTATATGAACAATAAAAATGTAGGCCACCTTAAAAACCCGCCTTTATCTTCCATTTAAAGAAAGAATATGATTGTTATTATCCATTAAGCACAAAAGGGGGACATAAGCACTTCGGCTTCTCCTTTTTTTAATTCAATTAATTTCAGCTTGAATGAATGTTCGACATGTCGGCATGCAAGATGCGTAAGCTTTTATAATTACGAAAGGTAGAGCTAACACTCCCCATCACTGCCCGGGAAAATAATATTTTGGCCAATTGTTGCTATTTTTCAATCATAGTTCAGCCAATTCAAGGCGTACAGCCAAAAGACCGACAGTTTTGAGCAGGTAACATGCTAAGCTAACAATCCCAAGCATTTAAAAGGAAATTTATTTTTTGACCCATTTTTTCATTTTTTGTAAGGGGTTGCATCGTCTTTTCTTGGGATTCAGATTTTGGTCAAAAATACCCATTTTTTAACGGTTTTTCGATCGTAGTTTAGCCAATTCAAGGCGTACAGCCAAAAGACCGACAGTTTTGAGCAGCTAACATCCTAAGCTAACAATCCCAATCATTTTAAGGGATATTTATTTTTTGACCCATTTTTTCATTTTTTGTAAGGGGTTGCATCGTCTTTTCTTGGGATTCAGATTTTGGTCAAAAATACCCATTTTTTAACGGTTTTTCGATCGTAGTTTAGCCAATTCAAGGCGTACAGCCAAAAGACCGACAGTTTTGAGCAGCTAACATCCTAAGCGAACAATCCCAATCATTTTAAGGGATATTTATTTTTTGACCCATTTTTTCATTTTTTGTAAGGGGTTGCATCGTCTTTTCTTGGGATTCAGATTTTGGTCAAAAATACCCATTTTTTAACGGTTTTTCGATCATAGTTCAGCCAAATCAAGGCGTACAGCCAAAAGACCGACAGTTTTGAGCAGCTAACATCCTAAGCTAACAATCCCAATCATTTTAAAGGAAATTTATTTTTTGACCCATTTTTTCATTTTTGGTAAGGGGTTGCATCGTCTTTTTTTGGGATTCAGATTTTGGTCAAAAATACCCATTTTTTAACGGTTTTTCGATCATAGTTCAGCCAAATCAAGGCGTACAGCCAAAAGACCGACAGTTTTGAGCAGCTAACATCCTAAGCTAACAATCCCAATCATTTTAAAGGAAATTTATTTTTTGACCCATTTTTTCATTTTTGGTAAGGGGTTGCATCGTCTTTTTTTGGGATTCAGATTTTGGTCAAAAATACCCATTTTTTAACGGTTTTTCGATCATAGTTCAGCCAAATCAAGGCGTACAGCCAAAAGACCGACAGTGTTGAGCAGCTAACATCCTAAGCTAACAATCCCAATCATTTTAAAGGAAATTTATTTTTTGACCCATTTTTTCATTTTTGGTAAGGGGTTGCATCGTCTTTTTTTGGGATTCAGATTTTGGTCAAAAATACCCATTTTTTAACGGTTTTTCGATCGTAGTTTAGCCAAATCAAGACGTACAGCTAAAAGACCGACAGTTTTGAGCAGCTTACATCATAAGCTAACAATCCCAATCATTTTAAAGGACATTTATTTTTTGACCCATTTTTTCATTTTTTGTAAGGGGTTGCATCCTTTTTTTTTTGGATTCAGATATTGGTCAAAAATACCCATTTTTTAACGGTTTTTCGATCGTAGTTTAGCCAAATCAAGGCGTACAGCCAAAAGACCGACAGTTTTGAGCAGCTAACATCCTAAGCTAACAATCCCAATCATTTTAAAGGAAATTTATTTTTTGACCCATTTTTCCATCTTTTTTTGGGATTCAGAATTTGGTCAAAAATACCCTAACAATCCCAAAAATTTTAAAGGAAATTAATTGTTTGACCCATTTTTGACTTAAATTTGAATTAAAATTACAATATACAAAAAATTGTTTTTATGCCAAAATTAAAAACAAAAAATTACCTCATCCATGGAGTTAATTCGAGATTGTAGTGTATCAAGCGTTAAAGCGTAGGCGAATCAGAAGAGCTGTGAATCATGAGCAGTACGAGCTTATCTGTAAATAAAATGGATTATTATAAATATTTATAATCTAAGCTTTAGCGCCACAAACCTTTTATAACTTCTGGGGTAGCGTTTGTCACTAGTTGCAAATCGGAAATGCCAACGCAGATCGGTTCGCAACCTGTTTTATATGGTTGTTTGGATTTTTTGCTTTTCGAGATTGGTACATAAAAAGAACCGAACAAAGAACGCGGGGATTAAACGATCCAGAGATCGGGAGATGGAGATGGCCAGTGGATGGGAGTCCCCTATGGTTCTGGCGGATCGTAAGCTCTAGAATGAGTGGCAAAAGCTCAGATCGCTGGCATTGATAAATCCGACTGATAAGCCGCAGAGAGCAGTTCTCATCCGGCATTAGATCTTTGCACATCATGTTTCCCGCTCGATTGGGTTCGCTTCTTTTCGTGGCTGCCGTTGTGGTGCTTCTGGGGATCACCGTGGCTTCCGTCTCCGCCGGAAAGCCGCGCAATCGAGCGGCCAATTGTCCGCCCATCAAGCTTAAGCGCCAGTGGGGAGGTAAGCCATCGCTGGGCCTCCACTACCAAGTCCGTCCCATCCGCTTTGTGGTCATCCATCACACGGTCACCAGCGAATGCAGTGGACTGCTCAAGTGCGCCGAGATCCTACAGAACATGCAGAGCTATCATCAAAACGAACTGGACTACAATGATATCAGTTACAAGTAAGAAGGGTATAATAATATGTATGTTTACTTGAGTAAGCATCTTTTAAGTTTTGAGAACTAATAACTAAAACTGTTGTAGTACGTTTACATATATGTAGAATCTGAGCTGGGGGTTTTTGAAATCAATACTACACAAATCAATTGAAGTTATTGGAACTGATTAAGTACCAAGGTATATTTTCCAGAAACCGGATCAAAGTTTCAATTTTACATACAACTTTGATAGATAGGGCTTTAAGGTTACTAATTTTATGACATTGCAATATATGTAGAATCATGTTTTAAGGTCTTAGAGGTAACTACATATGTATGAACCTACGTAACCGGTGATCTCTTACAGCTTCCTGATTGGCAGCGATGGCATTGTTTACGAGGGCACTGGTTGGGGACTACGGGGGGCCCACACCTACGGCTACAATGGCAACGGCACGGGAATAGCCTTTATCGGCAACTTTGTGGGTGAGTTCCAAGCGCGTCTCCTCCTCTAGCTGGAGCACTATATGTCCACCGATCTCCGACAGATAAACTTCCAACGGATGCGGCTCTGCAGGCGGCCAAGAATCTTCTGGCCTGCGGGGTGGAACAGGGGGAGCTGAGCGAGGATTACGCCCTGATCGCCGGTTCCCAAGTGATCAGCACCCAGAGTCCCGGATTGACGCTGTATAACGAGATCCAGGAGTGGCCGCATTGGCTCTCAAATCCTTAAAAAATCCTTGTGATTGTGATTCCACTAAAATACGTAAAACTTTTCGATAACCGATTGGCCGAAAGCTGGAAATAACAGTTATCTTTGATTTCCTATCTATCCACTTGCACTGGAAAACTTATCGTTTTCTTTTTTGTGAAAAATAAAGATTACTTCTTAAAGGACTAAAAATACAAATTGGTTTTTAAATTGTAAATACAGGAGCTTTAAGTGCATTAATTTTAAAATATGCCCCAATAGCTGCCCTACCAAATGTTCATGGAGCAAGCAGTGCTTAAAAAACTGCAGTTTCGATTGGCCTCCAAAGATTTCCAAAAGACGCCCGAAAGCTTATCGATAGCGCACTCCAGTCGATTTTGGAACATTCCAGTCTACATTTCACGCCGGGATAAAGATAAATGCTGAATATAAGCGACGAGAGGCTGGCCCACATAATGGAGAACTTCGATAAGACCTGGAGCACCGGGAGCACCGGCTCCTCGAGCAGCGGGGACAAGGACAGCGAGGTGAGCGACGCCTATTGTGCGTATGATGCCATCCGGCCACTGGTGGTCATCAACTGCTCCCAATATGTGGTGGCCCATGCGAAGGGCGAACTGCAACCCGCTCGCCAATTTTCCGAGGTCGTCCTGCTGGACCACATTCTGGAAACGATGCGGAAGCTGGGCCTGAATCGACTGCTCCGCGTGCAGAGCTACACATGGCCGCATTTGACCGGAGGAGCTGGACACGGGGCGATGATTGTGGGTGCACCGCGCAGTGGACGCACCTTTGCCTACGTTCCAGCCGTTTGCCATGTGGTCTGCAAGGCGCTGACCCAAAGCAGGAACCAGCTCAAGGATCTGCCGCCTGGGGCCTGGCAAGCCGATCAGTATGGCCCCATGGCCCTGATTCTGGTGCCCGATCTGCAACGCGTTCGACAAGTGAGCGCCATGTGCCGTGCCATGCTGCGCAAGGCTGAGAAGGAGGAATGGCTCACCCTGACTCTCACCGCTCCCTCGTCAAAGAGTTCCGAGTTCTTCCTGAAACTCCTGAACGGAGTGGGTTGCATGGTGGTCACTCCTGCCCAGCTGGCCTGGTTTTGGCAGGAGGCTCCCGGCCTCATGCGCTTCCGTTGCCTCCAGTTCCTGGTCTACGATGACGTGGATCTGATGTCCGAGGAGCAGCTGACAAGTGCCCAGCAGGTACTGCAGGAGGTCATGCCCCTCACACACTACCCTCAAATGGTGATGGTCTCCCAGTCATATAGTCCCACGCTGATGGCCAAATTGAAATCGGTCAATGATCACCCGGCTTTGGTATTCGGGGATATACTGGAGGCGGCCCTGTACGGCGGAGCACGCATACGGATTTCCCTGGTCCGCTCGGCAGCTAAGGCCAACGCAGTGATTCAAATGCTGCAGCAGTGTCCTCCCGAGGATTACCGCACGGTGATCTTCTGCATCGATGACAGGGATATGCAGCGCGCGGTAGCGGCTCTGGAGGATCGAGGCTACGCCTGCCTGCCCTACTACCAGACTTCGGACCTGGAAGTTCTCGAGCAGGTGCACAGATGGAAGGCCAACACCCGTGGCGTGATCCTGCTGTGCACGGACAACTGCCCGGAGCTGATCATCAGGGATGCGCACACTTTGATCCACCACAGCCTGAGCCAATCGTGGAGGACGTTCAAAATGCGTCACCTCGTGTTGTCCGACAACATGAGAAATAGTCTGGCGCCAGCCAGTCCCGTGCAAGTGCCACTGCATTCGCTGGTGCTCCTGGACGACAACAACCATCGTCAACTGCCGCGCCTGGTGGATTTCCTTCAGCTGCACCAGGAGGTGGATCCCGCCGTGGTGGCAGTGGCCAAGGGCATACGCAAGGAAATGGGCAAAGCGAAGTGCGTACAGAGTGCCTTGTGCGATCAGATCCTAATGACGGGCAAGTGCTATGATCCCGTCTGCGAGGACCGTCATTACGTGGGCCATTTCGATAGGCGTCCTGCCCACATGCCCGCGTCCGGTGATGTGAAGGTTCAGCTGGTCGATGTCTACTCGCCGACGCACTTTTGCGTACGCCTGCTGGAACACCTGCCGCCGCAGGGCACCTGGCAGGTTCTGCCCTTTACTGGGGTGCAGGAGATCCGGATGAAGCTGATGCAGCACAAGAAGCCCCGACATTACTGGCCGCCTGTGGTGGGAGTCATCTGTATGTACCACACCACGTTCACCAAGGAACGCGTGCGCGTCCTGAAGGTAGCGCCCATACAAAACGTCAACTTTGTCCAATCCAACGTGCCGGTGGTACTGCAGGCCCTGGACGCCGACACGCGCATCTTTTCCACCACTTCTGAGCGACTGTTTAAGTGTCCGGAGGCACTGCAGCGGGAGCCACCTTTGTCCTATAACCTGCGGCTTGTCGGCCTTGTGCCGTACTGCGGGGAACGCAACTGGACTGAGGACGATTGCAGCAAAGTCAAGTACATGCTGACCCAACTGCCCAAGGATCACTTTCTTCAGGCTAAACTTGAATTCGCCGCCGCAGGTACACTCTTTGCCCGGGAACTGGTGGCCATGGTGTATGCAGACCAGTTCAAGTTGCATCTGCGTCTTTTGAATGTTAAACAGAATCTGATCAAGACCACGGTGGCCAGAAGATGTGAGCAAGCTACTGACATGATCCAGGAATTCTTCCAGGAGGTGTTAGTAGAAGAAGTTTCAGAGAAGGTTCAGGTTCCCGAGGAAAAGACGGTGAACGAAGCAGAAAAAACAATTGAAGCTGAGGTGGTGGTGGAGCAACAGCCCCAGGTGGAAAGCCAACCCGTCTTGAGCCAAAGGTGCCAACGGCTGATAGAGTTAGCCCTTAAGTCGGGCAGGGAAAACGAACTGCGGGAGCAAGAAAGGCTGTCTAAGAACACAGATGCACAAAGTAATCAGATGGCTGGTCCTGTCACCACCTCCACGGAAGCTTCTAAACCTATGTCTAATGAAGACCACGTTGCCAATCTGGACGAATGCCTGATGAACTGCACCCTTATGCAGCTAGAAGATGAGCAGGAGCCGGCAAAGGATCCCGACCAGAAGGTGAACAACGATCCAGCTGACTTTCTCAAGCACGTGATCAACAATGAACCTACTATTAAACGCAAGCCAAAGAGGAGCAATGCGAAGTGTGCTCCCCCAGCAGCAGCTCCACCAGCACCTAACCATTTCCAGGGGGAGATACCATTGCAGCTGCCGCCCAATGTGGTGCGACCGTCGGTGAGCTACTATCAGACCGTTACCACCTTGGAGTTGCAGGTATCCCTGCCGGAAGACGACCACGAGTACAAGGCTCTGCTGACTGGGGCACAGATCTTCTTCAAGGCAACCTCCAAGTCGTCGGAACTGATCCAGCAGTTCATTCTGACCCTCAAATTTCCGTACACCACACTGCGTCATTATATCCGCGGACGAACCGTGTATATCAGTGTCACCAAGTCACTGGCCTTCATCGATCCGCTTGCATTTGGCGAGTACCGGTTCCTCAAGCCCAATCACGACATGTTCGTCAAAATAGAGAACCATATTTCGAGGGCTCACACCAGATTGGCCAGTGCCGTGCAGAATTTCGTTTCTGTGAAGCCGAAAATCGAGGTGCAGGAAGAGAGCGAGGAGAGTGAAGATGAAGAGCAGGATATGGACGGTATTGAGCGTGTGGAATCCAATAAAATAGTGTGCGACTAAATGTGGCGGTAGTCGAAGAACCAACAGCATCGCATGTGAACCATACCATTCCATTTAAAACATACACTTCTAAGACTGCACAGAAAATCAAAACTCTAAAAGGGAGATATCTGAAGAATACACAATTTTTAAACATTTCTACACTAAAAAAACACAAAATACCTAAAACTTTTACACATTTTTAAAAAAAGACAGTTTTTAAAACTCAAAGACAGTTATACTCAGTCCTTGGAACCTGAATCTTACAAATAACAAGACCTTCAAGATTTAATTGAATGATTTAACGACGGTTTTTATACCTATTGAAATAGGGTATAAAACCAACTTATGAAACATAACATGAAATAAATAAACATGTATCGTTGGATAATTTTTTTGTTTTATTTTATATTTTTCTACGTGTTTTTTGTGTCATTTTACAAAAAGTTTTCGGTTTTGGTCGTAAAAATATATATGAATATATAGATAGTATATGTATGCCTGCGATTATATACTTATATACGTAGTTACGAAACTTCTGACTGCAGACATAACTTGTGGGTGTGGGCGATAACATTTTGCTGGCGAAAACAACTAAGCGGGTTTATTTAAAAAAATAGGATATTTGGAAAACGCTACATGTAGTGTTTGGTGTTTACTGGTTGAATCCCGCTCTTGAGTTATCCCATTTCTTTTCTCCTCCGTACTTATGAACTAGGGTCTTGCCACTGACTTTAGGCCAGATTAGTATAGATATAGACGAAAAAAAAATACAAGTCTGTTGCAAAGAAGCTTAAAATGAATAAACCATTGCATCCATTACACCTCGAGCATTTCGAGCTTGTGCAAATAGGAATAGATTAAACAGTTTTCTTTTAAACTGTTAGAAAAATGTTTACAATTATTGTTTTTTAATAATTATCGGTTTACCAGAAACTTAAACTAAAACCATTGAAAGTTCTGCACAAACTTGTTGATGCTGCTAATGCACAGCAAAGACTTTAATCTATTGAATGACCTATCAGCTGTTTGCAGACCTCATTTAATTAAATTCGCCCTATCCACGACGAGGACGATCGTAGTTGGTTCCTAACTACGACTTGACCGCCCCGGAGACCGGGCCGTGCTGGGGGAGCTACCCCCGTCCTCCTTTCCTCAGTCGTCGCTCTCCTCGAACGTGGGACTGCTGGGCGAGTAGGCCGGACTCGTGGGACTGTAGTGGGATGGCGCCGTCGGCGAGTACATCGGCGATGTGGGCGAGTAGTTACGGGCCGTCGGCGTGTACGTTGGCGAGGTGGGGGAGTACTTGGTGCTGCTCGGCGAGTAGATGGACATGTTGGGCGAGTACCTTGGACTCGTCGCCGAGTAGGTCGATCCAGTGGGACTGTACTGGTTCGATGGAGAGTGCTGCGGCGAGCTGGGCGAGTACAGCGGAGAGGTCGGGGAGTACTTGGGCGAGGCCGGCGAGTACTGCGGCGATCCCGGTGTGTATTGCGGTGATCCTGGTGAACCATCGTACGACGGAGACGGCGGCGAGTACGTGGGCGATGTCGGCGAATACTTCACCCCCGTCTGCGAGTAAGCCGGCGAGGCCGGAGAATAATGCGGCGACGCTGAGTAGTTCGGACTTGTTGGAGAGTACGAGGGTGTAACTGGCGTGTAGTTCGGACTCGTTGGCGAGTACGAAGGCGATGTGGGCGAGTAGCAAGGCGACGTGGGCGAATACGAAGGACTCGACGGTGAGTAGGATGGTGATGTCGGCGAGTAGGATGGTGAATTTGGTGAATAGTTGGACGAGCTGGGTGAGTACGCATTGCCCGTCGAGTAGAGGTTGCTGCCGCTGCCCGCAAACGACGGACTTGACTGGAATTGCGATGTGGGCGAGTATACCGGGGATGTTGGTGAGTATCCGGATGAGGACGGCGAGTAGCCCGTCGACTGGGGATTGAAGTTTGGCGTTGTCGAGGCGTAACGTGGACTTGCAGACGCGTATAGTGGCGATGTCGGCGAATAGTTCGGGCTCGATGGCGAGTAATTGGGTGACGCACCGCCGGGCGACGAGGCCGTATAATTCGGACTCGTTGGTGAATAGGAAGGAGAAACGCTCGGCGAGGCCGGGAAGTACGGCGACATCGAGGGGCCCGGTGAACTGGGCGACGAGCCCGGATGAGCTGGTGACCAGCTGGGCGACATTCCGGAGGCATCCGAGGCCGCCGAGGGCGAGAAACTTGGTCCGCCCGGAGTCATGGCACTCACTGAAAACACAAGAAGGAAAGAGACGGAAAGCATTAGGTAAGAACGTTCAAATATTGTGCAGTAAACCCACAAAATGGGTTGATATAAAGTACTTACCATGGCCTGGCGGAGAGAAGTAACGCGGCGTGTTGCAGTTGACCCACGGTGTCATCGGTGGCGTCATGCTCGGTGTGGATCCACCGCCAATAAACATGGCGGCGCCGCCCAGCATGCTGCTGCCCAACGTGTTCGGGATCTCGATGCCGAATCGACACTTCTCCGCATCAAGCAGCAGGTCGAAACAGCCGGTGCCCATCTTGGGCAGCTGACCCATGATAATGTTCTCAGACACGCCTCTCATGGGATCCGTTTCCGCGTGAGCGGCAGCATCCATCAGCACGTCCACCGTCTCCTCAAAGGAGCAACGCATAAGGGCACCAGTGTCCTGTCTGTTGATGCCGTGACGGGTGATGGCCATCAAATGGCCCTTGGCGGTCATCACATCGCACAACAGGGCCAAGTGACGGTAGTTCACGTACAGGCCGTAGAACTGCAGCACGGCGTTCATCTCCTTCTCGACGGACTTTCGCACCGCCTCGATTCCAAGCACCTGGAAGATCTCGCAGATATCGTTGGAGGATGTTCGGATTGGGTCCACGTCGCGCTCAGACAACACCTTCATCATCGAGGTGCCGTCCGTCTCGAGCAGCCATTCGCCAATGGCCTTAAACTCTCCAGTCTCCGTGATTACGATACGCTTCTTGCTGTCGGTCTGTGGCAGATGCATGTACACCTTGCCGATGGCTTCGATGCCCTGCAGCGTCATGTCCGACAACATGTTGGCCTCGATGCAGCGCAAGAACATGTCGTCTTCCATCTTGTCGACTGCCTCGTCCTCGTCCTGGAACTTATTCTCCTCGTTGTTCATGATCCTGATGCGCAGCACCAGCTTGTCAGCATTGTCGTCGTTGAAGATGCAATTGAGATCCTCGCCGAAGCCCACGTTGATCTTCTCGGCAATCTGTTCCATGGTCAGCTTCTTGTCCGTCATGCGCTTGCGATCCAACTCGATACGGAGCAGCCAGGGCGAGATGCGTGTGGGATCGAAGTCCGGCATTTCGTAGTAGACATTGACGAACTCCTGATCCTCGGATATCACCGTTCTCTGCGGATCCGGGTCGTAGTAAATAGCCGTGTTGGCCGTGACCTTGCGCAGCGTGGTGTGCTCCAGACGGCACAGCACATTCTTAGCCTTCTCTGCATCGCGGGCAGCTCCGCCAGTAAGGAATACGGTTAGAGACGGAGCCTTGGGCTTCTTGGATATATTGATGATCTCCTTGAGACGCGGCACACCCAGTGTTACGTTCTTCGAGGACACACCAGCGAAATGGAAGGTGTTCAGTGTCATCTGGGTAGCAGGCTCACCCAAACTCTGGGCGGCCAGGGCACCCACCATCTCACCGGGATTGGCCTGGGCCTGTTGGAAACGAGTCTCGATTTCTCCGATCAACCACTCAAATGCCTCTGCGGACAGACGGAACTCCTCCGATACGTATTTTGTGCACAGCGTTGAGCGGATCAGGCACTGGAACAGCAGCGTGGCGTTCTCGTTGGCCTGCTTCGAGATTCGATCATTGCCAGTCACAATAACACACCGATCGAGCAATCCCTTGACGCCCTTGATCACCCTCATGGGCGAGAGATCTGTGGGCAGGCGCTTGTTGATGTGGAAGATCTTCTGCACGTTCCAGATCATACGCTGCAGGTTGCACGGCAGTACCACCTTGGAGTCGCCGTTGGGGAAGATTTGCCGTAAGCTGTCGCGATCGGCAACCAGGCGATCCCACTCCGACTCCAGTTCCTGAATCGCTTCACTACTGTCGGTCATCTCCTTAATCACATCGTCCGTGAACACCTTCCTCATGTATCGCTCGTTGCTCCAGTCGAACTTGAAGCGCTTCTCGAACGCCTTGTTCGACAGCTTCACCGTGGGCATGTTCTGGAACTCTACCAGCTCGCCGCACAGACCGTCCTCGCCGTAACGCAACTGAATCAGCTGGCCCACCGAGTTACGCACTGTGCCGTCGTAGTTGACCATCACCGACTCCATAGCCTTTATGAGACGACGCTGGATGTAACCGGTTTCAGCTGTCTTCACAGCGGTATCAATGAGACCCTCACGACCACCCATGGCGTGGAAATAGAACTCCGAAGGAGTAAGGCCGGCCAGATACGAGTTCTCCACGAAGCCACGGGACTCAGGACCGTAATCGTCTTTGATGAAGTGAGGAAGAGTACGCTTGCGGAAACCGTAGGGGATACGCTTACCCTCCACGTTCTGCTGACCCACACAAGCAATAACCTGGAAGAAAAGTAAAACATTCCATTAAAAAAAAGATCAGAGGATAATCTCTACTCAAGAACTCACCTGAGAGATGTTAATGTTGGAACCCTTGGAACCGGACACCACCATAGCCTTTAGATTGTTGTATTCTGTGAGCGATTTCTTAGCCGAGCCACCAGTTTTGTCACGAGCATCGTTTAGAATACGGTTCACCTTGTTCTCGAAAGTCTGACGCAGAGTGTTACCAGGTGTGGGCTCAAGCTCCATGTTATGGGCCTTTTGGATAACGTTTATCACGTCGTCCTTGGCCTTCTTGATGGCCTGCTGAATCTCGTTATATGTCTGGGGATCGGCAATGGTGTCACCAATACCGATACTATGGCCCTCGAGCAGCAACCAATTGTTGATCACGGTCTGAATGTTGCCGTAGAACCGACCGGCGATGTCGTGGCCGAGTTCCAGGAAACAAATATGCAGCAGAGAACCGGCTGAAGTACCCAGCGTCTTTTTGCACAGAATGCCCATGATCAGTTCACCGTGCTCCACCATTACCTTGGTGTCACCGGGCGAGATCCACTTGTAGGGTCCGTCATCCTCCTCGTCGGGATGCGTAGAATGAGTGCGAATCATGTTTACGTTACCGGGGATGATCAGGGAGAAGATCTGCTTGCCCGTCCACAGGGGACGCGGCTTTAGGATGCAAGGCTGCGGCATTTTGCCGTCCCACGTGGGCAGGAACATGAGCAGATTCATCACCTGCTCGCGCGTGATGAACACATCGCGCTTGGTCATCTTTCGCACCGCAGTCAGGGTGTCCTGCACGATACCCATGACGGGCTTGTTCGCCTGAGGTGTGATGATCTGTCGGGGTGTGATGTGAATGTTCTCCACCTCGGCACGCGTCTCCATGGACTGCGGGACGTGCAGGTTCATCTCGTCGCCGTCAAAATCGGCGTTGTAGGGCGATGTACACGAGAGGTTCATGCGGAACGTCGACCAGGGCAGCACTTTCACCCTGTGCCCCATCATACTCATCTTGTGCAGCGTGGGCTGTCGGTTGAAGATCACCAGATCGTCGTCGCGCAAGTGCCGCTCCACCTTGTAGCCGCACTGCAGATGCAGGTCAGAGGATTTCGGATGGAAGCGAAGATCGATACGCTCGCCATTGTCGCGCACAATGTACTTGGCTCCCGGATACTGTGAGTTGCCTCTGCGCACCAGCTCCTGCATGCGATCAATGTTGAAGGGAGTGACCAGCTCGGGGAAGGTCAGGTTCTGGGCAATGGAGCGCGGTACACCGACCTGATCGATACGCAGATTGGGATCGGGGGTGATGACAGTACGGGCGGAGAAATCCACACGTTTGCCCATCAAGTTGCCACGAATCCTGCCCTCCTTACCCTTGAGACGCGCCTTGATGGCTTTAAGGGGCTTGCCCGATTTCTGCATGGCCCTGGGCATTCCGGGCATATCGTTGTCCACCAGCGTGGCCACGTGAAACTGCAGCATCTTGATGTTCTCCTGGATCACATGCGCCGCCGCTCCACTGGCCTCGTTCTTGCGAAGCTCATTGTTCGCCTTGATGATATCGGACAGTTTGTGGGTCAAATCGTCCTGATTCTTGGCTGCACCGAACATCACAACAGCAGGACGCACGGCCAAAGGTGGAACGGGCAGGACGGTGACGATCATCCAATCGGGACGCGCATACTTGGGGTCCATGCCCAGAATGAAGCACTCCTCGTCGGTGATGTGCTTGAGGATCTCCCAAACGCGCTCTGCCGACACCACAATCTTCTTCTCCTGCGAGTCCTCGTTGGGATGCTTCCACTCGGCGGTGAGATCGAGTCCTGTGCGCCGGATCGACGGCTGGTAGTGACCGCAACCGCCGTGGCCGGGCTTCTTGTTCGGATCCGGCTGCTGGTTCTCCTTGGTCAGGTCCATGTCCTCACCACCCTCGCAAATCGTCTTGCCCTTGCACAGATCATAGACGTAGGCCAGACGCTTGCGCGGCTGTCCCTTGGACTTCATCACGATCTCCTTGATCTTCGGATTGTGGGGCGAGACCAGCATTTTGGAGCAGTAGAAGCACACGCAGCGCAAGATCTTGATGGTCTTGGTGATGAATCCGATGTGAAACACTGGCTTGGCCAGGTCAATGTGACCAAAGTGGCCGGGGCATTCGGTCATGTTGCCGGCGCACGTTTGGCAGCGCGACGTTCTGTCGATAACGCCCTGGCGCGGATCCATCAGACCGCCCAGCTTGGGGCGGCCACCCTCCATCGTTTCGGCGAACTGGACGCCGCCCTCGGTAACGGACATGCGGCGCTGTAATCAGGAAAAGAGTTTCGTGAGTCATTAAAGATCTAATCGCCATATTTCTGTTATTTAAAGGAAAGAAATGGGATACTTCTGGAACTTCATTATTTGTAATCCTTTATATTGGTTTGTTACGATAGTTGTACATGAAGGACTTGTTGACTAAGTTCTTGATCTAGATAGATTTATCATATTCCCCTTGCTTAACCACTTCGTTCTGTTAATGTTGTGATATTATCCATTACATTTTTTTATCGCAAGTTGTATTATTATATAAGATACATGGTACAAAGAATAAACATAAACATTTCTAGGAATTGGTCTTTGGAAACTGATTTTTACTTTATAATAATAGTTTGTTTGCATTAAGTATTGTTATTGATTTCAGTAGAAGGAAAAGTACAACAAATTTTAGATTTTAAGGGTCCAAATAAGTTATCTGTTTTACCAAAACACATTTAAAAATAACATTTTCTTGATATTTAGTAGTTGATTAGTCTATAAACCAATATGATAAGTAAACAAAACAAGCGAGATTACTGGCTCTCTATACTAATATTGCACTTAGTGCTTCGTCAATGTGTCGATAAATATCTATTACAACTAAGCAATTACTTGAGATTTGCATTTTACCGCAGTTTTGATTATTAACTATGTATATACCTCCAAACCAAACGAAATAAAATGTAAATATTAGAGAAGACCTAAAAAGCTGTAAAACATTATATTCCTGGATAACGTTCTTGACATTGAAATTTAGAATATTTCCAAACATATCCCTAGATATAAAGGTATTTAAGCACTCCATATAAGTACCACTCACTCGGTATATACTCATCCTATCCCTGAATTTTCTATATATAGAGGATCGACCTATTAATGATCCTCATAACATTAGTCCTTGAACTTTTCCCCCTTTGGATGTTGAGTTTTAGGCGATTATGCGTATTATTATTGTCAAATACCATCATAAGGATTTTGCTTTCTATTTAAAATCCCTATCCTTCGATGAAAATCAAGACACTTTGATTTAACCCCGAACAAAGGGCAACAAAACACATTGGGGGAGTCATGTGGACATTTAATAATATCCATTTATTTGCATATATTATGCGTTGTGGGCGATTGCGAATTTTTTTTGTATAATTTTTTTGCATTTGTATTCTCGTTTATAAAATTTTCAATTTTTTTCAATATGGCGTCTGAGGGAGACGGAGCTGAGCTGCACTTACAATTTCATCAGGTGACAAAATGCCGAACTGTACGCGCTTCACCTGCCGCAGCGGCGCCTTCGAGTCCGTGGTGGTGCTCATCCTGGTCGGCGGTGGCCACTAGCCACTAGCCACGAGCCACTCGAACGGAATGCGAGATCCCAGAAAGTGGGGCTGCTTTTTGTGCCTTTCTGCTGCGTCGTCACACTTTTCACCGCGTGCGATTGGTCCAAAAAAAGGAATAGAGTTTGCACGGCACGGATCGCAGGGGCGTGGGCGAAAACAAGACTGGGTAAACAATCACTGTTTGTTGCTGTGCATTCTATAACATTCGGTCTCTACAGGCGGTAGTGAGTGCGAATTTCCCTTTTTTAACGCGATGCGACGTGAAAACGCGGACAACGCGACCGAAAAGTGTGACTGCAGCGGCGATGCTGGGAAATACCTCAGCCGAATGCGGTCATGCTGCGAGGGTTGCCAGGTGGGTGAACAACTTTTTGGCTACAGCTATTATAGCTAGTTTTTAGTTGGGAAAGAATATGACAATTTGCTTTGTTCCACACTTCACTTCAATATTTCCAGAAGAATATGTGCTGAATCTTATTTGCAAACAATAAATCTATCTTATTTGCAAACTTTTGAATATATTTAATACAGTAGAAACTCAGATTGCGTACCTAAAATAATGTAAGTGGAAAACTAAAACTCGATGTATTGATTTATGGCTTAAAATTAAATTAAAAGAGGCTTTACAAAATTTGTAAATGGTGTTACAATTTTAATTTAGCTTCTAGTCCGACGAGTATTATGAATAATATTAGACTTAGCTTTTTTGCCATTTCAAAAACCGCTGCCTACTAATTTCAAAGAGCCGAACGGTGGCAGCTCTGATTTCAGTGCTGGCCAACAACCACCGACGCAGTGCTGCGAAATACCGGCCGGTCAAGCGGTCAAGCCATCAGCTGTTCAGTGCGCTCCGATTTGGGTAATTACGACAACAATAGATCGCAATAGCAATAGCAAGCAGACGATGAGCGAGGCCGGCACCAACGCGGATGCCGTGGCGGCCGAGAAGGAGCGCAAGTTCCGCATCCAGGGTGGGTTCTTGTCTTCTCCCGTCCGGCACTTACATATTCCCCTGACCTGACTGGAGTACACCTCCTCCTCCACTTTGCAGCCGGCGCCTTCCTGGGCCTAGTGGGCGGCGTTTCCGCTCTGTTCGGTTTCTCCCGCACGCTGGCCACCGCGAAGAAGACGGATAGCAAGGTCCTCCAGCAGGCTGGAACCCGGCAAGGACTGATCCTGATGGACGAGGGCGCCACCCTGGCCCTGAGGGCACTGGGCTGGGGCACTCTGTACGCCGTCATGGGCACCGGCGCCTTCTGCTACGGCTTCTGGAAGCTGTCCGGAGCCAAAGATGTGAGCAACACCACCAGTTTCTTGACTTTTCCCATCTAACTATTCCGTTTCCCCTGCAGTTCCAGGAGTTCCGGCTCAAAATGGGCAACGCACTGCCAAGAATCACCAAGGACGAACCGCCCGCCAGCCGCACCGACTTCGAGAGCCTCACGGACCTCATGAAGTACCTGGCCGCCTGGAACAAGGAATGACCAGCTCACAAACACACACAATTTTAATGAAACCAAACGCCTGAGTAGACCATAAGATAAACTAAAACCCTTGTTAACTTGAGTTTACATACAGGCAAATGTTTTTCTTTCAAGAAAGCACGCTATCTATTGCTTACTTTCTATGGGACTGTCGGATATTTGATATCTTTAAGTTGGACGTTTGAAAGGTGATGTTGTTTCGTCACTAAATGGCTTTAATGTATTTTAGTCTTTGAGTAAATAAGGCAATCTGAAGAGAGCAAGTTGTCTGATTAATAATCACTACAATTTTTATGGTGGAATCAAAAGCCAAGTTTCAAATCACAGAGACCCCAAGAACTTAAGCTTAAAATGATATTGGATGCATTTTTGATGTTTGTACAGTTTAATGGTAACTTCAAATTTTACGTTCATCCATAGATAACATGGATATAGATACTATTACGATTAATTGGTTACCATTTGGTAGTATAGGGTTTATCTCTTTTTAGCTTAAATTAGTCTTGACTTTTCTGGACCATAGCATTCACTTATAATTATGTACATGATACATGCGTTATCATCGTGGGCCGGCCAGATTCTGGTGAATAGCATTGTTGATCATAGTGTTACGCATGAACTGGTACTGATCCTCCAGGTTGCTCTGCAGCTCCATCATGTCCTCGTGCTCCGCCTGAAATCGGATGGCGGCATTCGTGAAGGCCAAGGAGCCTCTTACGAAGTTCTGCAAATTGGGGCCCTGATCGAGGTAGCGCTGCTGCTCCTTGCTGGGCTGGTAGCTCACATTCTGGCTATCCATGTCCAGATACGCCTGCATCACAAAGTCCACGAACTTCTGCTGCTCCACCTGGGCGCGCTTCTTGTACTGCTGCACCTCATCCTCCTGCGTGCTGGGTCCCCAGACTGAAAAGGAAACTACATATTGGTATATATTGTTTAATTGGCCAAGGAACCACTTACTTTCGTCCAGGTCGATGTTGAACAAAGTGCTGGCTTCGTAGGGCCGCGGCTTGAGGGTGGCTTCCAAAGTAGCGGGCACATCCTGCAGCTCAATGTCGGACACATCACTGCAGGACATGTCACCGGCGGTCACGTTGGCCACATTCTCGAACAGAGCAGAGCGACGCACATAGGATTTTGGGGGTTTTCCTGGACTCTCGGTGGGATCCATCGCGTCGCTTCGTGTTTTCAAATCAAATCCGTAATCGGTGCGCTTACCAACACTGCTCTAGCAACCAGTGAAGTTAATCTAGCTTTTTATCGATACTCTAGCTTTTTTTCTGGGCAAAAGAGAGGATCCCAACTTTTATTCAAAAGACCCACATTTTGTATTGTATATTGTTGTAATTTAAGAAATTATTTCTTTTTTTATGTAAAAATTTCCGCGAGAAGATATAAAACTCTTAAGAATACGTTTACTTAAAAATTTACCAAAATAGTTTTAATTTATTGAATTGGAAAAACAAAAGCAGGCATACACTTTACCATCTAGTATTGTCAAATTCTTGTATACCAAGTTGAGTACCATAAACCCAGACACACATCTATTTTTTCACATAAAATCCAAAATTTAAAAGTGGCTCAAAATTAAAACAATGCTTTACGCAAACGTATTACGTCTTCTTTCCCTGCTTGTGGGCTGTTTTTATCCGGCCTTCGCGTCCTACAAGATCCTTAACGGTCAGAAGCGCAGCGAAGAGGAACTCCGCATGTGGATGTCCTACTGGATCGTCTACGGAGTCTTTGTGGTCTTCGATTTTCTGACAACGGGTCTGGTGGCATTCATTCCATTCCTTAACGAGATGAAACTGCTCTTCCTGTTCTGGCTGTTGCCCACTGTGGGCGGTGGTAATGAGGTGATCTACGAGGAGCTCCTGCGCTCCTTCTTCAGCAACAATGAATTCTCCTTTGACCAGGTCCTGATCCATGCCACTTTGGCGGGCGGTGATTTAGTGGGTCAACTTATGGGCTCTATTCTTGGGCAAATGATGGCCGTAGCGGATAGCTGTTTCCTATCCCGTGGACATCGACCTGCCTTGCAGATTACGCCCAGCATAGAGGACCTCGTCAACGATGTGATAGCCAAAAGGCAGTTGAAGCAGAAGCGGAAGCAGATGGAAAACCTATCTGATACCATAAATGAAGCCCTGGGAGACAAGACCGATAGGAATAGCACATTGTCTGGCTTTGATTTAATAAACGAATCCGAATCCGATCTGCTGGTCATCAAGGACAACATTTCGAGGCCGAAGGATAAACCCCTAACTCCGCCGAAGCCAATGCGTCCGTCATCTCTTAGCAACGAGGAAATGGATCTCAAGCCGGAAATCGATCTGAAGCCAGAAATGGATCTCAAGCCAGTCGCAGTACCCTAAATATCCCAGAGAAAAGTTAATTAGCCAATATGCTTACAAAAAGTAGCCTTAGATAAGCCACGTATCGAGATCTACAAATTATTTCAACCGCACCGTACAGAAATAAATTTAAAAACACATCCAAGGTGTATGTACATTTTAAAAATGATTTTTGATATGATTAACTCACGGAAAAAGAAGTATAATCTTTAAAACTAAGTATGTATTTTGGAAAATTGTTCAGCTATATACCTCTAGCTTTTTTCCCGATGAGGCTGCTCTGTTGCAGCTTCTGATCGCGGTCCGGCAACGCCCGCGGCAACAACTCAGCAACGACTTAAAAACAGCTGCATTTAACCCGATTTGATTTGTGATTTGTGTCCTTCCTTTTATGAGATGATATGCCGACTCTGCCTGGAGGATGCTGAGCACGGGGTGCCCATTTTCGACCAGGACCCGTCTGCGGCGCAACCGGCGCTGCGCCAGCTGCCGGAGCTGATCGAGCGACATCTGCAGCTGGTGGTGAGTAGATTTGGACATGGACTGCATGTCCATGTCCCCAACCCGGAGTACAAAGGCCCTCGCTAATGATCCACACCACACCCAATTGTCCTCCCCAGTTGGCGGCCAACGACGCGGTGTCCACGTGCCTGTGCAACCGCTGCTGGCGACAGCTGACCGAGATCGATCACTTCTGCTCCATGGTGGCGGACAAACAGCGGTCGCTGCACCGCTCGCTGCAGCTAAAGACGGAACTGCCGGAGCTGCCGGAACTGGCGGAGCCGGAGCCTGCCATGGTCGTGTGGAACACGGAGTCGCCCATCGAGCCGAAGCTCAGCTACGAGGGCGACGACATCAAGGATCACATACTGTGCGAACCGGTCATAGACGCCCTGTCTGCGGGCGACGAGAAGGACAGCGACTACGGTGACACCTTTGAGCCAGACTTCGAGGCGGAATTTCAGCCTGAGGATGAAGAGGAGCCGGAGCCCGAGCTGGATCCGGTGAAGCCACGCCCCAGGGGCAGGCCACGCAAAACACCGCTGCAGCAAACGCATCAGATCATCAAGAGGAAGTACGAGAAGCGCAAACAGCAGAACAAGGCAAAGATCACAGAGTTATCTCTGAGGGAATCAAGAGCCAGGTTACGAGAGCTTAAACGCAGCAGTGCAGGAGCAGAGGAGGATCAGGATGAGGACGACGATGATGATGAGGACGAGGCGGAAGTGGCTCCCGATGCCGACGAGCAGCCAAAGCCACGCGGCAAACGCGGCCGACCCAAGACCAAGAAACTGGTCACTGCCGACGACAATGACGATCCCTCGGAGGCGCCCGTCAAGCGCAGCAGCATCAAGGAGATGGACGACTATATAGCCGCCAATGTTAAACTGGACTGCGCCATTTGCGCTGCTCCGCTGGAGGACTTCAACGATCTCAAGCGCCACTTTCGCGTGGAGCACGACTGCACCGGCTATGTGAAGTGCTGCAACAATCGGTACAAGAAGCGGACGCTGTACGTCGACCATCTGCACTGCCACAAGGATCCGCAGTACTTTAGCTGCCAGAGCTGCCGCAAGAACTTCCTCAACCGCAACAGCCAGGTGATGCACATGCTGCGCTTCCACTCGCAGCAGCAGGAGCTGGTCCACCAGTGCGCCATCTGCGAGGCGCGCTTCGCCAAGAAGTTCCTGCTGACCATGCACCTCAAGGGGCACAAGGGCACCGAGCGGCCCGAGGTGTGCGACACCTGCGGCAAGACGTGAGTGGTGCTGGCCTGGTAGCCAATCACCTAATGCGTTGCTTTGTCCCATTGCAGATTCCGCACGAAATTCGAGCTGAGCGCCCATGTCAAGCGGATGCATGCGGCGGATTTTACGCCCATAATATGCGACATTTGCGGGACCCACTTCAGGAGCAAGGCCAACTTCCTCATCCACAAGAAGGCGCTGCATCCGGACGGGCCCGTGGCGGAGGTGCAGTGTACCCTGTGCGGCCGCTGGCTGCGGGACGAGCGTAGCCTGCGCAAGCATCTGGCGCGCCACGATGACCGCGACGGCGACACCAAGTACCGATGCCTGCTCTGCAATGCAGAGAAGTCATCCCGTGCCGCACTCAGCAGCCACATGCGGTACCATCACTCCGCCAAGCGGCACAAATGCAGTCTCTGCGACAAGGAGTTCAAGCTACCGCGGGCTTTAGCCGTGAGTTTCCAGCAGTGCGCCATCCTGATCGGGCTAATCCCAGACTGTTTCTCTTCTAGGAGCACATGGCCACCCACACGGGCATCGATCTGTATCAGTGCCAGTTCTGCACGCGCACCTTCAAGTCGCACGCCAACATGCACAACCACAAGAAGAAGATGCATCCGAACGACTGGGTGAGAAAGTACTCGCAGCCCAGTAGCAGCATTACCTCCGCAGCGGCTCCAGTGGCTTCTCATCCTCATCCACCACCACCACCTCCTCAGGCAGTAGTGGCTGCTCCTGCCACGTTAGCCGGACACATGCTTCCGCCGCTGAGCGGGATCAACAACAAGTCCCTGATCGAAATACCCGATCCCGAGGGCTTCGACTTTGTCAGCAACAGCTCCGTGTGCCCCACGCCCGACTGAATCTGTGTGTGTTTGTCTGCTACTTTTGTGTGTAACCACCCTGCAGTGCCATTAATCAACAAAAAAAACTTCATCTTTCTTGATGGAACGTAGATGGATTTGGTCATTGATGGATTCTGCGGAACTGCGGGGTATTCCCTGGCCGGGATTTATGTATAAAACCGTACAAATAAACTCGAGTAATTACTGTAGTTGCGTGGAAATCGTGGGTGGTCAGTTCAGGCCTCGTCCTCCGGCTCGTCGGCCTCCTCCTCGTTCTCGGTGAGAATGGTGCGGATCTTCATGAGGAGCTCCTTCTTGACGGCATCTGGGACGAGGGTGCGGGCCTTGGGCGTTACCTCCGTGATGAGCTGCTCCACGGTGAAGCTGTTGTTGGCACCCTTCTCCAGCAGAATGGTGCGGCACATCAGGCGCACCTCGTCCCGCCAGCCGCACTCCGTCAGACGGCTGCACAGGAGGTCCTTGATCTTGGAGCGGTCCCCAGTTAGCACCGTGTACTGGTCCACTGCGGCGGAAACGGTCATTCTGGTTGAGAGACGCCGGCAAATGGGATTGGGGGTCTAATGCTACAAATTACTTCTCTCGGGGCGTCTTCCTCTTGCTCTTCTTCTTCCTGGTCCTTGTCGATTCCGCTGCCTCCGTCTCTTCGTCTGCCTCTGCCTCTGCTCTTTCTCTTCTCTTCCTTGCCCGGTTCGTCGCGTCTTTTCTTTTTTGTTTGTCCGTCTGTCTTGTGTTGTTGCTGTTGCCGGTGTGGTCAGCGCCGACAATCTGGCCACTTTTCTAGCTAGTTTTTTAAACAGTTCAAAATATTTTGTCAAACGAGAAGCACTAGTCGAATATATTTCAGTCCTCAGGTCAAAGTGAAAAGTGCAAAAACTATATACTTTTAGTTATTGATAAGTTATTGGTAATATACTTGGAAATCTCATCACTTGCCCTTTAGCTTTTTTGCTTTTCCTCCGCCTTGGCATCTCTCTCGCTTGTCGTTGATTCCGCCCGAGATCTGGCAACTCCGCGTTTTGTAAACCGAATTTGCCAGGCAATTAATTAAATTAATTGGTCTTCCTGCAGCCATAAAGCAATGATATGCCGCCTCTGCCTGGACGATGCGGAGCACAGCGTGCCGATCTTCGACCAGGAGGACCAGGAGGAGGCGCCCTCCAACCTGGCGGAGCTGATTGAGAAGCACCTGCAGTTGGTGGTAAGTGGATTCAACTCTGTTTAAACCATGTAATCCCGCATTGCATCCCTAATTCCAGCTCCTGCCCAACGACGCGGTGTCCAAGTGCCTCTGCACCCAGTGCTGGCAGCAGTTGGCCGACTTCGAGCAGTTCTGCGCCATGGTGATGAAGAAGCAGCTGGGCCTGCAGCAGCTGAAGATGGAGCCGTTCTCCGAGGACGAGGATGCGGATACCAAGGCGCAGATCCTGTGCGAGCCGGAGATTGATGTGAGTCCTGCGGCGGCGGACAACGAGGAGTGCAATGAGATCGACGGCGATGCCAGCAGCAGCAGGAGCAGCAGTATCCGGACCTCTACCCGTCGGAGGATGCGTCTGCCTTCGCCCATCAGACGGAGCATGCGACCGCGGGCAGCCGCAGCCACCCCCAGAGCCCGGGTCGTCAAGGCCAAGGCCAAGACGAAGCGCCACCAGGAGGAGGCGGACGAGGACGAGGAGGCCGAGGGCGATGGCGATCCGGAGAGCCGGAGCAGCAATGGCCGCGAAATGGACAGCTACATAGCTCTGCACGGCCGCCTGGAGTGTTGCATGTGCGGCGGCGACGATCAGTTCCAGAACTTTGCCGAGATGAAGCGACATTTCCGGAACCATCACCAGTCCGCCGGATATGTGGTTTGCTGCCAGCGTCGCTACAAGAAGCGTGCCCTCTACGTGGACCATCTCCGGATGCACAACGATCCGGACTATTTTAGGTACTTGGCCAGCATAAGCATTTGGTGTAACCCCTATTAATGAACGAACTGCAGGTGCAAGATCTGCTCTAAGCAGCTGGTCAGCCGGATTAGCTACGACGTACACATGCTGCGCTTCCACTCCAACGAGGACGAGCTAAGCTTCGCCTGCAATCAGTGTTCCAAGCGGTTTTCCAAGCAGTTCCTGCTCACCATTCACTCAAGGGTGCACCAGCAGGAGCGAAAGGAGCAGTGCAAACACTGCGACAGAACGTAAGTGAATGAAAGAAAAGGGATACTGAGCTTTGCCCTTGAGTTTGATGATATTTCTTATTCGCCTATAGCTTTCGCACCGCCGTCGATCTGCGGCTGCACATGCGACGTACCCATGACCCTGCCTTCGTACCCTTCATCTGCGACTCCTGCGGCGCCAAGTTCAAGACGAAGCAGAACCTGCTGGTGCACAAGCGCACCGTGCACCGCGAGGGCTCCCAGCTGCCGGAGGTGCAGTGCCAGGAGTGCCAGGTGTGGCTGTCCGACGAGAACAGTTTGCGAAAGCACATGTACATGCACCTGGACGCCGCCTCGCTGCGGCAGTGGAAGTGCGAGCAGTGCGGCCTGGAGAAGGGCTCGCGGGCGAAGCTGGCGGCGCACATCCGGTACCATCATCCGAAGGAGTACCACAAGTGCACGCACTGCGGCAAGGAGTTCAAGAGCAGCCGAGGCCTTGAGGAGCACACTGCCACGCACACCGGCCAGGATCTGTACGAATGCGCCTTCTGCGAGCGGACCTTCAAGAACTCGGGCAACATGCACAAGCACCGCCGCCAGATGCACGCCGCCCAGGTGGCCGCCCTGCAGCAGCAGAAGAAGGTGCGGCCCAGCAAGCGCAAGGACAAGGGCGACCTGCTGCTGGACGTCTTGGCTGCCGGGGGAAAGGAACTGAGCCACGCCATGGGAGTGGGCGACATGAACGACTGATGGATTCCAAAAACCAAATATACACACACATTGGAATTATATTAAAGCTAGTGTCTTTATTTTGTTTCAACTCTTGCAATAAATAACTTTAATTTATTAAAAAGCACCCAAGTTTAATAATAGTTTAGTATGTAAATAGCTTATTGGCTTGGAATACAAATTATTTAAGAGCCACCAAAAAAATATAGTTTTAAAATCAAAAATATTGTCAGTCTCAAAAAAAATAGTTTTAAATATTTTGTTATTTTCAAATTTAACCAACATTTTTAAGACTTTCCCCTCCATTCCCACTATTTCCGATATTGGTATTTAACCTTTAGAGTGCCCAAAACCCGAAAATATCGAGGGCTAGAATAGCTAGAAGTTGCATCACCGCTCTGGTCACACTAGGCAGATTACTAATTTCTAGCTTCATTTTAATTTTTTAGAGTTTAGGTAATCGGAACGCAACGAATTTTAGTGAAGTGATTAGTTTCTCAAATTGTATTAGACTTTTCTTGATCCAACACGCACTCATGCAAGCACTTTTTACTCAGTTGATTCTTTTCTGGTATACATACACACTGATTACGCATCGAATTGGCATTATGCTCTTAGTTTTCCCTAATTTCTTGCACTAAGTGAAAATTTTGGGCGTAAGGACGCCATTTGGGGGGCTTTTAAATAGATATATAAATGTGGTACAGTTTTCATTGTCATGGTAAGTAGTGCACCACGCGGTGCAACGTACACGCCTACAGTTTTTGACAAACAAAATGGTGGAGCCCTATTAATAACTTCTATTCTTTCCCGCTTTCCATTTCAGTCTCAAATTATTTGCAAGTGAGTGCGTTACTCCCGGGATCGCTTAGCTTTCTTATGATCTTCAAAACCTGGTTTTAAGCCAAACACTTCAAGAGATAGTCAGTCACGATCTTTTTCCACCTTTAAAGGAGATTTTCGGACACGTTGCATCCACAACTATCCTAATTACATATGTTTTTTCTTCTCATCTGTTTAGGGTGCTGAGATGGCCATCTAATGGGTAAAAAAAGGTTTTAGAAATAGCTTTGGAGATCGGTTCGAATGAACGAGAAGATTAGAGCGCGCTAAGAGTCGTTCGAACCGTTTTCTAAAGAAAAAAAGAAAAGAAAAAATACATGGTTTCCTTGGAACGGCTGAAATTGATTTGTCTTACGGACAGTAAGCCAAATAAGATTATTTGAAAGCCACACACTGATTGTTTTAATGTTTGACTCGTTTGTCAAGCAGTAAAACAAAATGATTTAAACACAAAACGCCAGAAAAATCTTAAGACGCAACGTTTTACAAGCCGCAATGCAAAAAAAAATCAAAGTCTTAAAAGGCATGCAAAATGTTGCAAATAAAGGAAACAAATTGGTAACGTTTTACGCGCCTTAACCAGTCTAAAAAAGTAATAAATTCCTAAGTTTCGTATAATTGGTGAAATGTTATACGAAACTTGGGAAAAAACTATTTAGAGCGAGATGGCTATAGAGCGGCGATCTCTTTCTTATTTGAGTTTCGAATAGAAAGAGAAACGAGATGGCGATGGATTAGAGTGAGACGGGCTGTAAAGATTTTATCTGATGTATTTATGTTGAAATTAAAATAAAACAGTTTTTTCAGCATAAAATTGGTTTTTTATTTCTAATAATATTGGGTCGCCATTTTGTTGGCGCCAAATGAAGAAAAATTAAAAAACTTTCAAGGTTGCTCTCCATTTTGCTGTTTAGGGTGACCAGTTTTGTGGTTGTGATCTGTGCTTTAACAGTCTCCCTTACATTTAGTGAGGACACCAACCACTCCCACGCGAATATTTGCCAGCACTATTTTCGAGCACTTGGCAACACTGCTCTGTTACTTTACAGTATCTAATTTCGAGCGAAATGCATGTAATGTTTTAAAATGCTCGTGTGTTTAAATCGATTTTCGAAGTTCAACGTCAACGCCACCGTCACCAGACTGCCATGCAACTAAACTCGACGTCGAGTCGGTCACGATAAGTGATATGCTTGTGTTTTTATTGTGGCAAAAGTGCGTAAAAAGTCAACAAAAGTCATAAGCTTTTCGAGTGTGAGCGTGTGTGTGTGTGTGGCAATACACACGTAATGTGCGCATGTGTTGGACCAGCTCGTACAGGCAGTGCGCTGGTGTGTGTGATTACCTTGAAAACAACATAATCTGCTTATGAAGAAAATAAAAGGGAAACAAAAAAAAACAATGCAATTGTGTATATAATATACGGGCACACACATGCACAGGCATACATATAGTTAGCAGAGTGTTATTTTGGCCTTTTGCGCTGTTAAATCAGCAGTTCGTCTCTGTTAAGTGTGACCGCAGTGCGGAAAATCCAGCCGCCAGTATGACCGCGCCAGCTGAACAGGTCTTCGTTCAGCCTATTGTCATTAGAAAATCTCACATATGTATTTCTCTTTTTCCCTCCCCCACAATAAAAACAGCAGCACGCAGCGTTAAAATCAGCAGCTAATTAAACAAGTTAGTGTTGGGAGGTGTGCAACTGGTGCAACAAATCGCTGGAAAACGTAACGGGCCACGCCACAGCAGCAAGAACGTCAACAACAATAACAACGGGAAAGGAAAAGAGCTGCGCAAAAACGTAAACAAAAGCAAGTTGGAAAAGCAAGAGGGCTAAAGCAAAAACCAAAGGAAAGCCAGAGGAAAACAAAGCCACGAAAGCGGAGAACAAAGAGGGGCAGCTCAAAGAACGGAAGTGGAGCGAGAGAGCGAAGAGCAAAGAGGAAGAGGAAGAGGAACAGGAAGAAGAGGCAGAGAGAAGGAGGAGCAGCAGCAGCAGCACCAGCAGCAGCAGAAGAAGAAGCGCAAAACAGAATCCGAAAAATGGACTCAGACAATGACAACGATTTCTGCGATAATGTCGATTCGGGCAACGTCTCCTCGGGCGACGATGGCGATGACGACTTTGGCATGGAGGTGGACCTTCCAAGTTCCGCGGAGCGCCAGCTGGACCAAGATGACTACCAGTACAAGGTGCTCACCACCGACGAGATTGTGCAACACCAGCGGGAGATCATCGACGATGTCAATCTGCTGCTAAAGGTGAGGGCGAACCGAAAGAGTACAGTGGGCATCAGATATGTGTGTACAACCAACCCACCTACCCCTACCTAACATCATATGGGGGCTATCTGTGCACCCCCTTAATTACCAACAAACACAGTCAACCCTCCCTACCATTTTCCTTAACTTATGGGTACTTGGTACCTATTTGTTTTATCTTTGTGTTTATTAAACAATCCCAGTGCTTATCAGAGAAAAATATAATATAGGTGTGCTTTAGTTTTTCCAAGAACATGTATTTCATCATTTATAATAACATGTTGGGGAATTTATTTTCTTTGTAAGTTCATGGCAATCGTTTATCATTTTGGTCAAACCAATTTTATCGTCTGACCGTAGCTTAAAAAAAATGTTGGGGAAGTACACGAATCTTACGAATCTAAAGATAACTTGTGTGTACATCCGTTCCGTTTGTCTTTGCTGCAAGTAATAATCTTTAAAACGCTCATCTTTAAAGAAATGCAATGTTTTAAATATATTTTTTATGTTCAAGACTAACCAATGAAATTCGAAACAGCAAACATTGTTGGTGGTTTCAAAAAGTATAGTCGATATAGTCGAAAGAGTGGACATAGATTGTAGATAATTTCGTCCAACCGAGTTACCACTGTACCAAACACAGTGCATTTGTGCATGTGTATCCGCGCAGCTTGCGCCCACTTCTCCGCCTTCGCCCACCGCTCTGCCTGGGATCTGGGATAAACTGAAGGTCGTCCGTTGATGACTGCCAGTGCCAGTGAAATCGGAACACAAGCACCCAGGCGCACCCAAGGTCGCCAGATCCACATCCGCATCCGCATCCCTCCTCCGCATTTACAGCTGGCTTTCCCAAAATTGACCTGCACGGTCGTCCCTTTTCACTTTCGCGTGAATCGAGGGATTTCCTTGGAAAAACCAAACTTTCAGGGATTTCCGTAGAAATGGTTCAAATTGTATACAATGGAAAAAAGACCTGCATGCAGTCAAAAAGAGTAAAAGCTCTTTTAACGTACCAAAACTTTTGTTTTTTTTTTTAGATAATTGGTAATAAAAAACATTTATTAAAATATAAGGGCTTCCAAAATATAAAATATAAATGAAAAGCATTTAAATGTCTGGAAATCTTACCAAAGCAAGGGAAATTCACTTTATGTGGGTGCTAACTTTGTTTGTTGACACAATTTATTGAAGCAGATGTTTTCTATAGCTAATTGTTAGTTAAATAAAATACTTTGTAACACCTCCTTAATGTTAATTCTAAACATTTTCACCTTTTTGTATTTTTATATTTCCAAGAAATGTTATAAATATTTATTGAAGTTAAGTACTTGTAGTTAAAAAAGGTTTAAATTTTATCTACCAAAGAAAAGTAACTAGCGATTTTAATTAGACCTGTTCTTGGAGTTTTTGAAATTTTTTACTTGTATTATTAGTGGTTCAACCACATCCGCAGCGACATCCGCTAGTGGTTCAACCTAATGCAGCTTCAGCTGCTGATCGCTAACGATTTGGCATTGATTCCGAGGCCAACTGGGAAGGGGCCACCACTTTTCTCCCCTCTCGCCAGACAGACCCATATATTAGCCATCATTCACTGACACTCGCTTTGTCTCGCTTCTTATGTCCACAGCTCCCCACACCCATCACGCGGATACTGCTGAATCACTTCAAGTGGGACAAGGAGAAGCTCTTGGAAAAGTACTTCGATGACAACACCGAGGAGTTCTTCAAATGCGCACACGTCATAAATCCTTTCAACAACGCCACCGAAGCGGTCAGACAAAAGGTGAGCCCAGAGCTAGGGTTCCATTTTGTGGCCCACCTAATGCATATCCCTCTATTCCTCTATTTCAGACCACACGAAGTCAGTGCGAAGAGTGCGAAATATGTTTTTCACTACTACCGCCAGATGTAAGTTCCCCCCAAAAGGGTTGAAAAGTTCTTCCATGACCCAATTGTGGTTCCAAATCCATTTGCCTACCCATTAACCATCGACATTTCGGGGGAAACAAATGCCTTATCTGATAATAATAACAATGCTCGGGTGCTAAGCAGCTGCTCAAATCTATAATATTCTAAAACATTTTATATCAATTATTTTATTGCCAGAGCTTATCAATATTATACTCGTTTGATTTATAATTTTTGATTGTTATACTTATTTGAATTTGCCTGGCAGAATCTGGTTATGTCTAGTGAATTTAAGCAGTTCAGGGTTATGTGTGCAACTAAGTAAGGTTTTAGATTGGATAATTGACTTGTCGCCCGTCTTGTTAGAGTCAAATATGCAAACGCAAGTTGAGAACTGCAATTTCTAGAGACTTTCACTTTTGCCAGACTTAAAGGACTTGGTTTTTGTAGTCTCATTCTTGTATGATAGGAAAATTAATTCAAGGTCAAATGCTAAATAGGGGGACTACAAAGTGGGAATCCCCTAAAAACTAGAACTATTTACAAATAAGTAAAGTACTGCCCATTTAGAAGAAAATGTAATATAAAAGGCATACAAATTTGTATAAAAAAAGGTATAAGAATATTCTGAAATGAAAGAGCGGCTAAAATGATCTAAGAACTTAGAAATTATGCTAAAATGTTTACTAATAGTTTATCTCTGTTTATCCCATATAGTCGATGACCGGGCTGGAGTGCGGGCACCGATTCTGCATGATCTGTTGGCGCGAGTATCTCACAACGAAGATCGTTACGGAGGGTCTGGGCCAGACCATCTCGTGCGCGGCGCACGGCTGTGATATCCTGGTGGACGACGTGACCGTCACCAAGCTGGTGCTAGACGCACGGGTGCGGGTCAAGTACCAGCAGCTGATCACCAATAGCTTTGTGGAGTGCAACCAGCTGCTGCGCTGGTGTCCGTCCGTCGACTGCACCTATGCGGTGAAGGTGCCGTACGCGGAGACACGTCGCGTCCACTGCAAGTGCGGCCATGTCTTCTGCTTCGCCTGTGGCGAGAACTGGCACGATCCGGTCAAGTGCCGGTGGCTAAAGAAGTGGATCAAGAAGTGCGACGACGACTCGGAGACGTCCAACTGGATCGCGGCCAATACCAAAGAGTGTCCCAAGTGCAGCGTGACCATCGAGAAGGACGGCGGCTGCAACCACATGGTGTGCAAGAACCAGAACTGTAAGCACGAGTTCTGCTGGGTCTGTCTCGGTTCCTGGGAGCCGCACGGCTCCTCCTGGTACAATTGCAATCGCTACGACGAGGACGAGGCCAAGACCGCCCGCGATGCCCAGGAGAAGCTGCGCTCCTCACTGGCAAGGTGGGTTTCGAGGCTGTAGGATACTTAATACTATATACTCCAGAGTTGTCTTACATACGCAGTTTGCTGAGTGTACCCTTCAGTGCTTACCAATGAATGAAACTTTTATCTGCTAATTGCTATAATTAATGATAACGATTGCAAAGCCAAAGAATGAAATGAATCAGCTATAATTTCCAATTTAGTTTTATCGCTGGTAAACAAGTAGAGTTATCAACGGAGAATAATATTAAAAATAAGCGAGGACTAAGCAATTGCAAATGAAAAGGGAAATCAGATATAATTGCTTTTGATGTTCAAAAATATGAATACCATAAAAGGATTGTTTTTAATTAATATATTAACTTAAAAATGCTACTTAATCAACAGGTATCTCCACTACTACAATCGCTACATGAACCACATGCAGTCGATGAAGTTTGAGAACAAATTGTATGCATCTGTTAAGCAAAAAATGGAGGAGATGCAGCAGCACAACATGTCCTGGATCGAGGTGAGTGGTCAAAGGGCATTACAAAACGACGCAGATTAACCAAACTCGTTGCAATTCCAGGTGCAATTTCTGAAAAAGGCTGTCGACATACTTTGCCAGTGCCGCCAGACTCTCATGTACACATACGTGTTTGCGTATTACTTGAAAAAGAACAATCAATCCATGATATTCGAGGATAATCAAAAGGACTTGGAGTCGGCAACGGAGACGTTGTCCGAGTATTTGGAACGTGATATTACATCCGAGAATTTGGCTGATATTAAGCAGAAAGTGCAAGATAAATACAGGTGAGTTTGGCTTTGCGGCAAATCCACGAATCAATCGAATCAATCGAACCAAACCAAATAATCTCCATTCGATAAGGTATTGTGAAAAGCGGTGCTCTGTCCTGCTAAAGCACGTGCACGAGGGGTACGACAAGGACTGGTGGGAATACACAGAATGACGAGAGTCATGGCTGGATAACTAAGCTAAGCTGAGCGGCAGGCAGTCGGCAGTCAGTGTAGTGCCCGCTACACGCCTCCCCCAACCAGCATCCCCAAGGCACCAAACGCTAGCCCCATCCACATAACCAACACCACCCACCCACACCGAAACCGAAGCCGAAGAAGTTGAACAGAAGTTAAGGATAATGTAGAAGCTACACGGAAAGGCAAAAGGAAGGAAACGCGGAACCCCCAAACAAAAGTTGCAAGCAAAAAGTGAACCCATTTAAGAATATTGTGAAACCAGAGAGAAATCCATATTGAATCGTAATATATAAATATATAATTATATATATATTTTTCTTCGTAACGAGCAGCCGCATCAGGACACTAGGCCGGACAGGATCAGATAGACACACTCACACAACCAGTCACAAGGATCAGAAGCAGCAGAAGCAGCCGCAGCAGCAGCATATATATATAGTAAATAATCAACAGTTACAAACTTATTTGATGTTAACCGATTGCAAAGAGATCTTCATGTTATCAAAAACAAAAACTAAGAAAAAAAGTGAAACAAAAAGCGAAAAATTAGTGAATTCAAAGCTCCACGAAAGAGAAACGAACAATAGAACCTAAACGTATGTGAAATAAACTACACATGTAAGCAGAAACACTTGCCCAGCTTCCTTTCCACCTGCCCAACTTCCTGCGACCTTTCAACGACCACCCGCTTTTTAACCCCGTTTCAAGTTAGCGATATTGTTCATTAGTTCCAAATTTCGAGTTTCTTCCAGTTTGTTAAGCATGTTTTTTAAATTGATTTGCCTTTTCCCATTCTGTTTTCTGTTCAATAAACTATTGTGCCTAGCATATATGGAACGAAAATGTTTGCGATTCGATCGGATAGGCTTTGTTTTCGTGGCGGGAGCAGAGCTACGCCCCCATTCTTAGTTCGTAATGGCCTCTCGAATATTGTAAATGTTAAATGGAGCCGGGTGGCTTTGCGATCAGTGATCAGTGCTCCCAGCCGCGATAATCCAAGTGAACTTTGCTCCAGCACAAACCGATGAAGAACATACCGAAATCCGAAACACACAACACACTGAGTTATATATAGACGAGATATGTATAGTTAGGGAGGTGGGAGTGGGGATCCTTGGGTCCTTGGAGTGTCCTCCTCCCCAAATCGTTGTATATAAGAGAACAGTTTTGTCCATGGTTTCCTAGCCCGCCCACAGAGCCACAAAATTAAGCACGTTGAACACATGAAACACACCCAAAACTCGACTTGCCACGCCCCCGCTACGAAGGCGGTGGACCCTTTTACCATGTTTCCGTTTTCAGCATTCTCTATATTCTTAACAACAATAAATAAAGAAAACAATTATATTTATAAACAAAACTAAATGGAAAACTCATTGAAATTAAATTGATGTAAAAAGTTAAAAGTTGTTCGAATTGAAAGAAAATGAAAAATATGAAAACACCATTATGTGGAATAAAAAAATATATATAAAAAAAAGCTGTAAAAATTATGAGAAACTATGTATGTATAATTAAAGATGAAATGTTGCAAAAATTAGTGAAAATAAAAATTTAAAAAATCTAACTGGCTGTTTTGGTATGGGAAAGATTCTTTATTCAATTGATCATTCGAGGTAGAGCCCTACACGAGTTGAGTTAAAATTTCGTTTTCCTCCAGCCAGAAAATCTATGTTTATATTCAATTTTCGTGAAATCTGTTCAGTTTTCCTGTTTTCAATGTTTTATATTTTGAATTCGTTGGTCTCTGTACCGTTTTAGTACACATCTGACCCTTTTTTAATGGCAGCACTGGTTTATGTATATAAAAAAGCTCTGGTTACACTTTCCGAGTCCTCGAGAGAGCATATCCTTTCAACGGGGGTTGAAAGATCAGCAGCAGTAAGATCTCTAACCCCAAGAGCCACGTGTGTTTATTCTTGATAAATTGTTTTTTGAGTGCGACTTACTTAGGATAATACTATATTTACGGAGAAATGAGGTGTAAGTTATATAACCCAAATCATTTTTAACATATCCTTAAATATTGTTGTATCTAGTTCTTTTTTGCCTGTGCCTTTTGGCCATATGCGCACATGCATTACCTTTAGATGGAACAGTGGGTTCTATTTTTTGCATTTTGTGGCCGCACAAGTATCCCCCTGGATTTACCCCGGTAATGATGGGGTTGGATACCGTATAAACCCTAACTCCCTGCACTCGAGAGCGAACCCCAACAACCTTCTACTTCGATTCCAGTGACGAATGCTCGAAGAAGTGCTCTGGACATTGTGCAGTTTGCAATGCAACATGTATCTTTGGGAACCGATGTGTTTGCGGGACAGCTACTTACTGTGTTTACGAATACAACCAACATTAAACCAGGAGCTCTGATCCCACACGAACATGCCAGCCCATTGAGAATTTCATTGAACGCAACTGAGATGCAGAACCTATTACTTTTATTAAATCTAAGAGTTGATGAGTAAAACTAAATAAGAATTTCGAGTTCTGCTGGTTTAGAAACAGAAAAAGTTAACTATAATTTATATGACAATCCGTTGTATATCTAAACTTGTTCGCCCAAAAATGTGTTTTCACTATCAACTATCCTTTATATCGTTGTTTTCCAGTTGTTTCCGCTGTTAAGAAATAAGTGATAAATATAGATGATATTGTATAAAAAAAAGGTCCTTTAATTAGGAAGATATTTAAAGATTTGCTATACATATTATTTTATCAACACACCAACATCCGAGGCACGATTGGTAACAACTTTATTTCCGTATGAACATTCTTTCAATTTATTTATCATTCCCTTATGAACTTAGGTATTTTTGTAAATATAGCTTGCCTTGGTGAGCTTGTCGGAATACAAAATTGTTCCCCCGCTAAGGGTGTTTTCAAATATATATATTTCCTTGCACAGTATGTTCATGTACTCGATAAACTGGTCATATTCAATATTATAGTTTAACACAATGAGTATATAGAAGGCAGTTATTCTGCTCAATGCTAGTGAAAGGTTATTAGAGCACAAGAGAAAACCGTTTACTTAAATTTATTTATGCTTTTTTTCCCAACGCTTTGGTAAATTGTGTGGTAAAGGTCTAATTTCTGCCATGCAAAATATCTGGTTGACATCATTTTTAAAAAGCACATAACATTCTTCTGGTTTGTTATTTGGAGATATGTGTATTTTTTTATTAAATTTTTTAAGAGAGCCGCACATATATAGTTTGGCAATATTAGACTTACATATTTCCTTAACTCCTCCCAAGATTCTGAGAATTTAAGCCAATAATGTTTTAGTTCAAACTAAATTAAAAAGAGTACAATTTTGATCGTGTTATATTAGCTGGGAATTCTTCTGTACTCTGAGAATTTAAATATAGCTTAAACTAAATTGAAAAATTAAAATTTTCATCGTATCATATTTTGTAAATTACCGAAACTCCCAAATTGTTAGGGAACTTCCGGATATGGTTGGTTGAGATCCACCCAGAAAGTACTTTGCTTTTCCAAAAATGTACGGTGTTCTTATGGATGTTATGATGTACATTTTCTCAAATTGAGTTGATATAGATTACTGGAACACCTGGTTTGAGTGTCTCTTAGTTGATGGCTTGATTCTATTTGCGTGTGGCAAACATTGGTAATAATTGCATTAGGCCTCTAGGGCTTCTTCTTTTGAACGATGGACCCCCGATTATTGGATGGCTGGCTGCTGGCTGGTTCTGTTGCTTCTATGGCCTCTTACAATAGCCGCTGTCACACGCACAAGAGTCTTAAGTCTAATCTTGTGCAGTGGCCAGCAGCTGCAATAAGTACCTTTCGGTTCGCGACGCAGTCGGTGAATCACTATTCGTATCGTATAGTATCGTATCGCATTTATTTATTATACAGATGGAGAGAGGGATTACGGTTCAACGGACATTGCCGAACCGAGTGCTGAATAAATGATGATGATATGCCCGCGACATATGGTCGAAATTCCAGGCTACAACTGGGGGTCTTGGCACGTTTTTGAATAATATATGTTTTATGAGTCTCTCTATGGGTTATTGATTTTCAATTGGAAAATGGGTTTTAGATTTCTTCTTTTCCTTCTTTTTTTTTTTAGTATATCCTGTTCACTGAATCACGGTAAAAAATAGAATTCGTCTAGTAGATCCTGTGTGAGTGCACTTAAAAAAAAAGGTATGCAAAGTATCTTCGCAGACAAGGATACTTGGGGCTGTCCGCTGGTTGTCGCTTAATTAACGCCATTTAACTGAGACATTGTTCGGTCCGGCGTTCAGCTTATATAGTGGCAGGTGGTCAGAACATCCCTCATGTTTGGGCCTGTTTAAGTACTAACCGTACGTGTGGGCCGAAGACTTAGATGTGTGTGTAATATTATTAGGGGCGCATTAGTGTGTGTCCCAGTCGCAAATGCAGAAAAAGAAAAGGCTGCCTACTTTTCAGCGCTTCCCAAGGGAGTGGGGTGGTAGATGGTGAAAACCGAACGAATCCCGAAAAAATCGAAATCGCCACCAGAGCCAGACATTGAGGCAGGTTTCCTATATGTGCTATGCCCAGATACACACATAGGTATACACACTCCACGGGGTTCTTGACCAGAAGCCAAAGTCCCGCTGCTCGAAATATGATCCGAATGGAGATATGCAACTGCATTTGCAACTGCAACTGCCACAATCAGTGAGTGGTGGTGGTGGAATAGAGCCCCCCAAAAACCCCTGCTTCATCCCCGGATTTCCAACCCGGGGGCGTTACAAAAATTAAATAACATTTTTCCCGGCAACTGAGGTGGCACTTCTACGGCATCCCATGGGCCTGAGTTTGGGTTGGGGCTTGGAATTGGAATGCTTCGCTGGTCAGCGCCCGTACAAAAGTGTGCCTGTGTTTAGTGTTTCGTATTTAGTGGGGAATCTCAACAAGGTAACGGTAAAGGTAATGGTGGTAATGGTGGCTTAGCGCGTATCAAGTGACAGATTGTCTGCGGCAAGGAGGCCGGCGATCAGTCGATTCGCTCGCCGTCTTGGGAAACCATAATTTCCGACAGCTTTTCACAACTGTCACTGCATTTGCACACATGTATGGTATGTTTCTTGTCGATTCCCAAAAAGTGTGTGCCACGCGAAAAATATAATTGATTGGCAGAGAAATATATGTATTACCCAAATTAGAGGGCCATCCATTGGTTTCTAGAGCTGTAAGTACATTTAAAATTGCATTATTCAAATTATAGCAATACAGAAAGGTTGGGAATTAAATCATAAACTATGGGTAGTCATTTTAAAAGGTATATCACTTCAAAAGGCGATTTCATTGCGAGCAAGTTACATTTATGAAAGGTTTGGGGGCACAATTTCATCATCATCTGGAATATAATAGCTTTTTGTATCAACTCATTATGTATTATTTACAATTATAAAATATTACTATAATTTTGGGTAAACCCTATACTTGGTATTTGTCGTCGTGAAAAAAAAAATACAATTTCATTGGAGAATAAAAGGGAGGTATCAAAAAATAGTAAAACAAAGTATTAGTTTGTTTAAAAATTGGATTTTCTTTGTAGATAGGAAAAAACTTATAAACAGGATTATTACTTAAATATTAAATTAATTAAATGAGTTCCCATACAATGGTCATATACATCATATACATATAATGTAAAATTAAAAAAACAATAAGTATAATGACATGGTTTTAGTTAAAAAAGGATAGTTTTTCTGTTATACCTAAAAAAGAGCTACAAATAGTTGTGGTTTTTGGAAATCCTGTGAATTCCTAATCAAACTGAACAGGTGCTGAATACAAGTTCATTCTCTTAGCTAGCTAATAAATTTCATATAAGCCAGCGGTCAGAATACAAATATTTGCACAACTTTTAACAACTTCGGACTCCTTGAATATTGGAAAATAAAATGCCATACTGTTCAAGGTGGTTCTGGTGATTTTCCAGAAAAGGGTTGCTATCATAGAGCATTATCATTGGAATTCCATTGAGAAGGATATCAACTTACCATAAGCCACAGATGGAAATACCAATATTTAGGTGAAGTTTAAGAAAATTGGTCGGGGCTGTTTAAAAGTTGGAAGTAATTTAAAATATAATAGGGCTCTAACCAATTATACTTCGGTATTTCACCGAAGGCTATCGTTGCAAACGTCTTTTGTTTTGGCTGCCTGTCAAAGTTGATTTCAATCAATATTCATGACATAAAGTTGTAATTAAATGGCCGCATACACTTTTCTAAAGCGCGTCACACGTGTCCTTTGCAGAAAGAGAGGGGTATAGTGGCGGGAATGAGAGAGCAAGAGCGGCGGGAAAGAGAAGCGATAGAGTCGCGACCTTCGCTGCTACGTCACAGTGCTTCAAGATAATCGAGAGCGGAAAGAAATGGCGGAAAAATCCTTGCGAAGGGAAAATGCAAATGGAAAGTAGTGGTGGGGGGAGTGCCCTCTGTGCTAAAAATAGAAGCCCCCGAAAATCTAGGACAATCCGCCCCGCCACAGTGACGTTGCAGACGCCCGCTTTCCTGTTCCGGCACTGCGAGAAATTTTCACAACTCTCGTATTTCTCAATTTCAAGTAAATCAAAAAAATATGCTGCACTTAAACATTTTTTGGACAAGCTATAATGGAAAATGAAGTCTCAGAAACCTCTTAAAAGTCTATGGCCATATGGCACCTACTTAAATCTCGACTCTCGATCCTCAGCTGAAAACATTATGAGTTTAGATTTATAGATCGCCAGAACTTTTAAAAAATAAATTCAGTCATAAGGTCTTTACTTGGAAAAACATAAAACAGAAAAGTTTCTGTAGAAGGGTTACAATTTTTGGTTGGATTTCAAATTTTTCTGGGATTTTATAGATAAAAAAATATTGAAATATATATAATAAGGGTAATATTTATGAATAAAATGAAGTGCTTAGCTTATTGAATGAATACCAGAAAGGTTTTTGCAATTACCTGATCTAAAAACCTTCGCAAAGTAGTTTGCTGTAAAATATTTTGAAAAATAAGCATATTAAATAGATGATTAATATGAAATAGTTTGTCATATATAATATAAATGATATTTACCAGATCTAGTGAACGTATGAACTGGATGAAAAATGTAAATTATGCACTTTTTTTATGTTATCAAAGATGTCTACAGGCATATTAAGAACATTTCCATCAAATACAAGAAAAAAATATTTCTTTGCATGCCTTAAGACAGCTTTTGATATGTTTTGAAATGACTCATTTCGATTTTATGTATTATGAAACATAGGTTAATTTCTTTGGTTTTTCATATTTATGGGTGAATGGTTAAAAACATATTTCTTATGAGTACCAATTGATTTAAAATCATTTGAAAAGGTAGCTAAAAGTATACAGCTGTATATTTTGAATCCAGAAGTGTGAACTTCTGTTATTCACAGCATACTTTAAGGCACCTTTATAAACGACTTTAAGAGGTATTGATTTGACTTGTTCAGGATTGTTATGTTATGTTATATTTATAAGCTATTATTTGTTTTAAATGATATGGGGGGTAGATAAATGCCGAATTTGTTTTGGGTATTTTCTCGCTGTGTGGCGTGCCTGTTTGCCTTTCACTTTCTCCAGCCACTTTCTCTCCGCCCCTCATCTCCGCGGACGCCTCGTTTTGTCTTCGGCGGGACTTCGTCTTGGATTCGGACTCGGCACTGGGTTACTGGGTCTGCACATCCACATCCACATCCACATCGCAGCATCTGCTCGGTGGCGACTATGACGTCAGTGACGGCGGGTAAATGGCCTCTGCAGGCTCGTCACATGTTGCTGTTGCGCCCAGCAACATCCACCCCATCGCCACCCCCTTTCAGCCCCCAGAGAATAACAACAAACAGGAGCAGGGTCAACAATGTTTGGGCTGCCCCTGAAAGTGGGCAGGGTTTTTTTTATTTGCACTGCTTCGCGGAGAAAGTGCTGCGAAATGTGGCAGGCGAGTTTAAATTGAGGGAGTTCGGAGTTTGCAACTTTACATGTTATTGCATCAACTTTTAGTGAAAGTTTTCCCCTTTTTCAGCAACAATTTACTCAGCTGCCTGGAAGTAGGCAATACTTCAGCGAGAAAAAAAGAGTTTTATTTTAAACTAAACATAATAGGATTTTTAATTGAAAACTAAAATGGAATTGGGTGTTAAAACTTAAAAATGTTAGTGTAATTTTGATGGATTTTTTTTTATTTTTGCTGTTTAAAATCACTTTTCAAAAAGTATTCCTTTTTGAGACTGAAATTTAAGCTGTTCAAGAGTTTTGATTTTAAACTTTATCACTAAGTTTAATTTCAAACCTACCTAAAGCATTACTTTTAAGCCTATTATTATCTATTTTTTGTTGATTTGTTGATGATGCTTGAAATAATAAAATCAAAACCTGTAAAGATTCTACATCATTATAGTTGAAATAACTAAAACAGAATCTTTAGGGATTTTGAAGTATTATATCAATCGAATTCGTTATTTGGCTAGTAAAAATGATTATAAAGTTCTTATAGATCTGCACTCCTAATTTATGTATTTAATATGTATGATGAACTGACTAGTTTTGGGATGATTTAATTATGCTGATAAACAATCTATCATTCTGCTTCTTTAAACAATACTTACAAGGAGCACTTAAAAAAAAGTATATAACTATTTTAAATTTTATTTTTTGTAGCTTGAGTTAGTTTTGAAGTTGGGCCAACCCACAAACGAGCTCAACGTGTCAAGTTTTTGTATTTAAAACGATCTCAAAACTTGCTTAGTGGAACTCGGACGTGGGACAGCTATTTCGATGCAGAGATATCAGGATATTATAAAACTTACTTCCACACTTGAACACTTTTTAGGCACTTTAAAAAAAT